AGGACGTAGTTCAAGAAAGACCGTGTTGCGTATGTCGTGGGATGTTGAATGAGTAATCTACTCCGAACTGCTCAGTGACAATCTCTCACTTCAAAAGTCTGCTGTGGTCAATAACTACGGTTTAGAAGCAGTTCTGAATCAAAGGCGGTCCTAATTGGCCGACGGAAGTGGTGCCGTCTTTGATCCGCGACAAATCGACACACTAATTACCCATTGAATGTGATTGGCTAGATAATTTTGCCTGACCTCCCAAATCATCCTGACCTTGAACTCTTGGAGTATTGGTTGTTTTAATCACTGATTTTTCATTTGGCGGTGCATTCGAAAAACTCAAGATCTTGCAAGCAACAAGCTGTCTGATTTTATTTGAAATTCTTTTTGCAGATTTACCAACGAATGACCCTATCACTGCACTGATTTCAAATCTGGAAGGTGCCATCGTTCGTTTATATGGTAACGATGCATGAACACTTACGACGAATTCAAATAAAACCCGTTTCCACGTTTTTGATTCGCGGAGGAAGGCGACTATGCCTTAATTAATTGATTAATGCGCCCTTTGGTGCTACTAAGCCAACGTGACCTTCGAGCAAAAAGTGACCTTTAGCGGAGGCGATGTGACCTTGAATTGAACTCTAAACGAGTTCCCCATTAGGGGCATCGTTAAGCCTCTTAATGAAGTGCCTAGTTAGTGCAATTATGACGTTCATTTAATCGACAGAGGCAAAATCGCCGAAAACAAATATTTCTTTGCTGATTTAAACTAAAATGATGTGAATGTGACCAGAGAATCAACGCGCAGCCATGATGTCTGGAAAAAGCACATGTGATTGGACCCACATCAAAAATGCCACCAGCGGTCGTTGTGCGCGTTGGAGAATTAATCGCCACCTGTCAACTTCCGGGTGTCAATGGATGTTGCAGTGACAAGTAACAGGGCGTAACCCACCACTTCCCCTACCATCCATTCTGGGACAATTTAAGCGGTGCGAAGGGCTTGCTACGCCTCTAATTCGTACCACCGTGTTAAGATGCCAGGAGCGCGGTAGCGTGCATTAGCGGTGTGAATTTCAATGCCAACTGTTATGTCGGGGTGTAGAGAAAAAGAATTTAAATGTCTGATATTTTAAACAGGGCCGAAAAAAGGGTTAGAATTTTTAAGTGGACATGCAAAGTGGCTTTAAACGCAATCCGCTGATGCATAAAATGAGGCAACGGTGGCCTGAAATGGCTTGATTTTATGATGTCTGGTTCAAGATTTCCAGTTTGGTTATCTCAAACTGATCTAAAAGGCTTCACGAATTTGAATGGCACGAGACACATAAAATAAGCCATTATTTAAAAATATCATGAACACTGAAAATAATAATAATAATGCATTACTTACAATCGAGTTGGAATAGTCAGTGATCCCAAAATTGGATGTCTTGCACACCATCCAACATATTCAAAATTGACCACACTCTCACACTATTGGCTAACGACCACTGCGAGAGCACCATTGATCTTTCGCTGTCAAGATCGGCGGCTAAACTGAGATGGGCATGTAGCCCGGTTATCGGAGCCAAATGACAAGAGGTAGAAAGTGTTCACTCATGAAGAAGCCTGGCGATTTGTTTAAACCCAGCAATAATTTGTTACCCGCGTTGTTTAAACGACCACAGAACTGATATCTCCGGTTTCTTACATGCATTGCATTACTTCAGAGCATCCGGGCACATTTGCATTCGCGCCAAAACTATTTAAACCGGTAGTGTGCGTCACCACATCAGGCAACCCTGAAGGCGTCAAAGTCATCGTCTGACGAAGCGTTGTGACCATGGCCTTGATGACTTGGTTACTGTTTTGAGGTCAATTGACCGCCAAGGGTAAATGCGTCAGAAATAAATGCGGACGCAAACATGTTTTAGTAATTAATTAGCAGAGCCAATGAAAAACGGGGAAAATTAAGCGCTGCCTGATTGGCCCAATGCGAATAGAACAAAACATTTATGGACCTCAGGAACGACATTTGCTAAAACATTAACTATCAAAGTCGGAAATGTATCAATTGTAGGGAGTGAGACAACGTTAAAAAATACAACTGAACTGACCTCTTAGGAAGATGATTGAGGCATTTGCGACGAATTCAACAGGGTTAAAAAACCCTACTAAATCATTCAACAATAAGCGACACAGGGGGTAGTGCTTGAACACGAAGGATCGTAGGTTACAATCGCCTGCTGCAAACGAACCTCGCTCATGCTGTAAACGATTCCGTTTCTTCCACGGTTAGTCACTGCAGAATTGATGTGCGCATTGCTGGATGATCCACGTACAAGGAAGTGGTGGTTTTAGCCACGATGACCAACGGCTTTCATCGTACACCGAAATTTGGTCTTCGTTCGCGTCGACTCACGTCCACCAACCCGGTCGTCACATTCTTCGCCACACCGACCCCCCTGTCACGGGGACGCTCTCAAGCGTGCTAAACAGTCTGCACATGCGCCTTGTGCATGCACCTCCCCCACGCTACCCGCTTCATTCAACGGTCATTTGTACTTAAACAGGTTCACTGTTTTCTCTGCCGAGTCGATTCAGGGCCCTCTTGTTGGAATTGTAGACGGACTTCAGAGGAATCGTCCACAATGATATTCACTGGTTTTGCATCACAATCACGCCACAACTGAATAGTATTGCACGCAAACCCCACTTGATTGAAGAAGGTTTCGCTTCTGAAGCGTCTAAGACTGACTAACTGGAATGACATTGATCTCCAGAAAGAGAATTGAGATCTCGTAGTTCCAAAATTCGTCAAAATGAGAATGAGGAGTTGGCCAAGGAAGTGTTGCCCCTTCCAGTGCATTCCTCACTTGACGGATCAACAACCTGCCATCTCTTAAGACCAATGAAACTGTTTGCTCGTGGTCAAAAACTTGTCTAATGCTTGACCGCTTTCAACATGTGACACCAGGAATGTTCCGTCGTTGGAACGACAAACTGCAAGCGTGAGGACCCTAAAACGTTGTTTGCGTCACAGCAACACCTGTAATGTCGTTTCGAGAGGCCAAATGTTGCACAAAAAACCACAATGATTCTTAATACAATTTTCACTCTTTCATGTCAGATATTTGGTGCATTAATTTGTGAGGAAAAGATGCTTTCTCCTCAGAACCGGGCATCCTCTGTCACCAGAGAGTAAAATTGATTAGTCCAATGGTCTTAATATCGATACTCGAACGACTTATGGACGTTCTTCATCGATCACGAATGGACCTTTCTGCAAATCGATTGGCTGATTTGAATTTAAAGTTTAACCGGTTGATTTTGCGAAATGTCTTTGATGCATTGGCTTACGTCACTCACAACCTCGTCGGCACGGCTGATTTTTGTACAAATTCAATTTTTGGCATAAGATTGTTTTAAAAATACTTGCTATAGTGCACACTCTTTGACAACAAACGCTCACGACGTAGAAAACATTAATCATTTTGTTTTCGTGAAATGGCTGAAAGGCACCATCGTTTAAATTTATGCGAGGGGCACAAAATCTAAGTCCGCCTACATGAATTCCACTTACAAAGTGTCATGATTTAGAAATTACCTATTAGTAATTACAATCTCCGATAATTCCTAGTATATCATTTCAAAAAGGTTGCAAATACCGCGCCAAATAAAAAATCAGTGATTAAAACAACCAATACTCCAAGAGTTCAAGGTCAGGATGATTTGGGAGGTCAGGCAAAATTATCTAGC